TATATTTAGAAAAGAATATTAATTATTATTTAAAATATTTTAATTTTTATATAATATAAACTCTATATAAGAATTTCCTAAATTATTTAGTATTTTAAAATAATATTTAAAGTTTTAATTTCTAATTATATTTTTTTACTAGGTAAATATACTAATTATATTACCTCTATAGCTTCTAATACTCCAATCTATGGATAAAAATTTTATAAATATAATTATAAGAAAGATTCACTTCCAAAATTTAATAAAACTAGTTACTAATCTACTAAAGTTTCTAGTATTCTATAGATAGCTTTATATTAAAATAGCTAAGTTCATCAATAAGTATACTAAGCTCTAGTACTCCTATATTTAGAGTAGATTAATTAAATACTACTCCAGTAACTTTACTTATAATAGATAAAATAAACTAATCTTTCTTTCTAATATTATTCTATATATTTATAGTAGAACTAAATACCTCTATTAAGATAATTTTAATAATTATATTAGATATATAATTTTTATTAATAAAGATATAAGAATAGAGGCTCTCCACTATAAAAAAGCTATTATTAAAATATAAAATATACTCCAATATCATATAAATAATTATAGTAATAAGCTAGTAAAACTTGATTTATTATTCTATTAGAATAAAATCTTATTATTAGAGAATAAAAAGTAAATATATATTTTAATAACTAAAATACTTTTATAAGTCTCTATCTATATTAATATTATATTTAGAGTAAGCTCTAAAATCTACTAATAAGTACTAAATTATAATATAGATAATTTTAAATATTTTCTCTATTAAGTAATTTTAATAAGCTCTAATATTATTAAAGAAAAACCTTATTATTAAATATCTCTACTTTATAGTAAACTAGAACTTTTAATATATAATTAAGAATAATTTATTTATATATTCTACTTCAATAACCTAATTATTTTACTACTATTCCTTTCATTTATTAATAACTTTAGCCTATATAAAAATATATATAGAACTTTTATAAATATATATTTAATACTTATAGTTAATAATATTAATTTGAATAAATATTTAAATATTTTTACTTTAATATTTAGGCTATATAGTACTAATTTTAATAATATTATTAAAGTTCTTTCCATTAGTATACTTAAATTAAATAATAAAAGAGTTATTACTTAAATTAGTAGAGAAATTATTTAAATTATTATATTCTATATAATATTTTTAAATAATATATTATAATGGAATAATAATATAAAAATTAAAAACTAATTAGATAATATTTATATTATTTTTATACAGTTAATAAAAGTAATAAGTTTAATTTTAATTATAATATTTAAAAAATAATAAATATTATTACTAAAGTATTTTCCTTTAATAGATAATTAATAAGACTATTTCTATTATAAGAAAAGCTATCTTACCTAAGTGATATAAATTTATAAAGTATACTTCTACCTTCTTAAAAATTTATTCTAATCTTAATTTATGGATATTTTTCCTCTCTAATTTATATTATAGTAAGTATATAAGTATATTAAAAATAATTTATTATTTACTTATATTTATAATTCTTATTTTAAATAATTAAGAGTAGTATCTTTAAGTACTATAAAAGTTCCCCTTTTTAAAAAGCTAGAGTTATTTATAATTTCTAATTATCCACCTAGAGTATTACTAGCTCTAGAAGTATACGAGGACTTCTATATTAATTTTATTTATTCTCTACTATTATAGTAAAGAAATATAGATTTAATCTACTATTTAATATACTTTTTTAGTAGTATTTATTTTATAGAATAATAATAGAATTAATATATTAGTTAAAATATTCATTATAATTATAAAAAATAATTTTATCTTTATAATTAATCTTTTAATTATTTATAATTAGAAGGAAATTTAATTTATTATAAAAATAGCTTACTAGCTACTATAGTAGCTAATAAATATAGTTATATCTACTATTAATATCTATAAATCCCATATAATATTATAGAGCTATAGCTATAGGATAAGTAGAGTACTCTTATTAGTAGTATTTACTCTAGAAGTAATGGAGCTAGTAGAAAACTAGTAAGTAGAGTAAATTGAATTTAATCTAATATATAAGATTAAAGCTATTTAAACCATAAAGAGTAAGCTAAATATATATATTAGTCTATATTACTTCAATTAAATTAAGAAATATATATTAGTAAATAACTATAATATTCTCCCCAGTAAAGATAAATATTATAATTATAAATTATTTATTTACTATACTAACTATAAAAATATTAAGAAGTTTCTATTATAGTAAGAAAGTTATTAAAACATAATTAAATTAAGTATTTATAGTATATTCTTAAAAGAGGAGCTAGAGTTAATAGAGATACTCTAAGTACTATATATAGAGTACCTAAGTATATTTAATAATTTTCTCTACCTTAATATAGTATTTTCTAATAATAATTTAGTAGAGACTCTTCTAACTTATAAATTTTTAAATATTTAGTCTATATTACCCTCCTATTAAATAGTAGAATAGCTTAATATACTTTTACTAAAGCTTATAACTATTAGTAATATATATTTATTTATTAGAATATTATATAAAATATATAAAATTAATTAGTTTAAACCCTCTATTTTAAAATTTAGGCTCTAGCTAATTTAATTTTATTAGAAGATAAGTTTCATCTTTAATAACTAAAGTTAGAAAATAATAATTATATAGAGGGATATTATTCTATATTAGAATAACTAATTAGACTAAATTTAAGCTATTTTTATCTATATACTCTATAATATTTATTAAGTTTTCTTATATATTATTAATATTTATAAAATTAAAAGGAACCCTTTATTTTTACTACTAATATTATATATTAACTCTAAATTATATATTATTATTAGTTCATTAGTAGTTAAATTAAGCTAATATATTATTTCTATTAATATTAGTAGTAGTAATAATATATTATAGCTCCAATAAACTACTAGAGCCTTTAATTTTATCTAGTAATAGTAAAATATTTTATTTTTATTATAGAATATAGTACTTTAACGAGCTTTAATATAGAATTTCTAATATTAAATTAAGATAATACTATATTAATATATAATATTATGGAGTACCAATATACTATAGTATTAACTTATATTAACTCTAAATAATATCAATTTATTATAGTACTAAATATTTTTAATATTAAAAAGCTATCTATATATAAATTAGTAGAAATATATATATTTAGTTAGAATATTTTAGAATATCTCTAGTATTTCTATAGTTTCTTAATAAATTAGTATTTTTTTAAATTATAGTTTTGGAATAATTTTTCCACTATTCTGAAAAACCCCCAGACGGCCCTATGGTAGCTATCTATAAGGATAGAAGTAGAGTCGGAGCCGCTCGAACGAGTTCCGCCCCGTTGCTTATTTGGTATCAGTGGAGTTTAGTCCGCCGTACTCGGAACCCGGCCCACTAATAATAACTAGGATAATAATGTGCGTATATTTTGCAAGTCGGAGAACGGACACAGCCTCCGGCCGGGAGAAAAGGGTCCATGTGTTCCTGTATACGCCGTACCTCCAGACCCCCGCTGATTGTCCAGGGGATGTCAATAATGTCAGCGAGCGCGCTGTCTGTCCCGCCGGTGGGCCCTGAAAATTAAAGCACCGACGAACCAGAGTACGGGGCATGGAATACTGAATTCTGATCCTTTTGGGTGATTAAAAAAGGTGTCTAATACAGCCAAAAGACAGCATACAAATGAAGAAGAATATATATAGTTATATATAGTTAAGCTATCTAGATCAAAACGCGTTTACGGAAGCTTAAATATCTTGCTACGCTTCCATATGGAACTAAATATACAAGCCAAGGGTTGGCAGACATAACTAACTAACAACCACCCGGCTCGAACGCATAATCCCAACAAATACTACTAATAATGACCCTACCACGGCTGCACATGGGTCGCATACTCTGCCGTCTCGGGCCTATAGCGCTGCCGTTGCTCTAACACGCACAATCCGCCGTGCCGGGCTATAGAGGCATGACGAGCCCGTCTTTGCGCACCGCGAGCAAGTGGGCTTAGCATATGCTTTGCCCATCAAGTCATCGACTTGTCTCCATGGGTCAGAGTACGGAGTACGGGTGGGTACCTATATTGACACTGTTGTGGATCATCCGGACTCCGAGTAGATTGCCCACCCGCCCCCGACAAGGGACTGCCCCCTGCGTAGTTATCATAAGCGACCCGGCGTCCGCTCGACTTAGTTATGCCGACCCACCATCCAGCTACTCCAGGGTATCCTAATCATTATGTAAAACTTCGTAAAACATGGTAGTATAACCAATTGCCGCCATGCACTGGTCGTTATGATGAATATATTATGTAGTTGTATTAAGGGAGCCACGGCTCAAGAGCGGGTCGGCCCCATTAACTAACTAGTTGTCAGGATGTATGTAGCTTAGTTAGCCGATTATTATTAATTTAATTAATTATATTTACTACTATTAGAGAATTTCGTATTTGCATCCAGCCGGCCACATCGGGCCTCTTGGCGCCGCTTTCGGCCTGTCGAGAGGAGGTTTATGCCAAGTGATTCATGACTAGGGTAAAGGGGCCATAGACCCCTGTAACTCTCAATCCAGGCTCTATTGCTACATTTTCTTCCCGTACAGAACAATTTTTGCAATCACCTTTCTACTCTGGAAGAAAGGATAGAAACGCGTACAGTTTTATTTCTTTTAGCAGGGATTTTAATCAACATGAGAATTTGAAGTAACAACAACAAGCCTGTATACATGGAAGTATCGAACCGACGAACTCATCCAGATTACCCCGAGACGGTGTAAACATGGACCCCATGCGGATGGTTTTCGGCCCTGGCGTTGCACGTACTTACACCCACGGGTCCACAGTGGTGCAGAAAAGAACCACGCGGTGTCCACTACCTGGAGGTCACTAGGATACTGCAGAGCTTCGTTAGGATCTAAAATGATATTCAGGGAAGGGGCCCTTACATCTGCCGGTTTCAAATTGATGTTGGCTCTACCCACGGTGATCTCACAGGAACCTTCGAAGTCGTCTCCTGGGTAGAGACAAAGGCCGAAGAGGTCCGATGCGCCGTGCTGTTGAAGGAGCTTATCGAACTCTTCCATAAAATTGAGTTCTGCTGGGCCGATTGCCGCCGCCTCAGGATTCTGTGAGTAACGATACTCGGTAGGCCGGAACGTGCCGTCGGCGGCCTTTGACCAGATAGAAGCATAGGGCTCCTCTATCTCCTGGGTGTGAGCCGTAGGCCAAGGAAGAGAGGTCCCATTATAGTCGACAAGCCTCTCATCGACATTCAAATCAAAATGGCGATGGAGGATAGCCAGGCCAAGTCTCTTCTCCATTCCACCATCAACAAAAAATGGCCGAAAAACATTATTTACAAGCTCATCACCGTTGATAGATTTGAACTTTGCGCGTGCGGCCTCGAGGGTTGGAAGGGCCTGGAAGTGCCCCGGCATGTAGTCTCCAACTAACATTTTGGCTGGCTTGTGGTGAGAAGGCAGGTATGTGGATTTGGACGGATTCCAGAGAGTAAGTCGATATATATAGCTTGATTCTGGACGGCATCTGCCATTGTGCCGCCTTCAGCTTGCACCGCTCTTTGCATACGGCACCGCTTCTTGCATATAGCACGCTACCCGCATATGCTTGGTATCCGAAAACTGGATGCATTATTTGGCGTACACACAAAGTAAAGTTTTCTAAGTTGACCGAGATCAGCATGGCCGAATACAGCCAAAACATTCTCAACTTTCCAAACGTTCCATCAAGGCAGTGGCATGGAGCCCACTCTTTTGGCCGCCCTGTCTCGCAAAAAATTCAGACACTTCCCACTTCAGGTCTACCGGAGTATCCGAATATAGCGAAGGTCTGTCTGCAAACCATTTGTGCCGACCTTTACTGACAATTGCTTCAAGAATAAGCCTTCTGTAATCGACGTCTGGCGCCGAGTACATCTTCAGTAGCAGGGACACGATAACTGAAGAGTTCGGCAATTCCCGCCGCAATGCCTTAAGAAAGTTCGCTCGGTCTTTCTGTAGCATTAAATATAGCTCAAGGCCAGGAGGATGTTCTACTGCTAGAAATCTAGGGAGACTAGCAGCAAGCTGAAAAGGTTGATAATTAGCGAAGCCCCAGTCTATGATGCTATGGAAGAAAAAGATGTCAGTAGCGCTTTGTTTAACGTAAATGGCGAATCTCATTTACCCTTTGACGTTGTACTCCGAGTCCACTATAATATTTCCAGCCGAAAGGTCGCCATGATCGATGAATGACGGGGCATTATCTAGTTCCGGGTGCAGGATCTCTGGGAGTACGCATTTCAGAAGGAGGCAATGGTTGATTTCAAGTTCGGGAAGGCGGCCTTGACATATTCGAATGACTTTCTGGTCGATCTTATCCGTGAAGTACTCCAATGCCGAGACACCTAAATAAGTCAGTAATGACCCCGCCTCTTGCTGGAAAATAAGATTCGCTCACCATCTTTGCGTGTACATGATATGAGAGATAACATGATCTTCGCAATCTGGTCGACAACCCTCTCGCGATCCATTCTCTTCCTCGGGGTTGTCGCTGTCCAACTTAGAGGCTCACCTGGAATCCAGGTTAAAACGAGAAATGGGAATCCAATAGCGTTGTCAAATGTCATGTCATAGCCTATTACTCTCGGTGACCATGGAAACTGGCAATCCTCGAGGTTCTTAAGGGTTTCAATTTCTGTCATAAGGACGGAGACGACTTCCTCCTCGGAGCAGGAGCTTAGGTGTATAGGTATCCGAACAGCCCAGTCAACATCGTCAAAGAATCCGAGCCTGTAGACTTGACAGTGACCACCGGATAGCGGTTGTGTAAGAGTATTGGACCTGAACTGAGCAAGCTCATCGTCATTTCGAAACCTTTGAATGGCAATAGGGATATTCCCAGGGCAGAAGCTTTTATTTATGGCCATTTCTTAGCAATAGAAGGAAGTAAGCCTAGAGAATAGAAAAGCTATAGACTTGTAGGGGGGCAAAAAGATATCGGAGGCTGGGTTGTTGGCTTTTAATATAATAAAGATAATAATATTATTTTTTCTAGAATTAAACCAGGGATTAAGAATATAGAAATAGTAGCTAATTACGTAATCAATCACAATCAATCCCAATACCAGACACTTAGGTAATCTTCGTCTGGAACAAAATTTTGCCAGTAAAGCTTAAATTGGCTTATGTAATTAAATTTTTGTCTTTGATTCGAAAAGAAAAAAAAAAGTCCGCAGAGTTGCTATTGCTTGTCTTTATATTTAGATAGGAAAGATATATAAACCACAGTCCTGTCTTTTATCCGACAGTTAATTTCTTAATCATGAAGCGCAAGCTAGATGAGAATGACGTCCCTACATCAGCAGAAACAACGGAGTCCAAGAAGCCGGCAAGGCATTTTGAGGACTTTGGACTCGATCCACGACTGCTTCAGGCCTTGACATCACAGAAATTTTCGAAGCCGACATTAGTCCAGGCGGAGGCTATTCCTTTGGCGCTCGGTGGGAAGGATATACTCGGTATGAGACTATATCTATAAAAAAAGTTTATAAGCCAGTCGACTAATTCTCCATTGATTGTAGCAAGGGCAAAAACCGGATCTGGAAAAACAGCAGCTTATCTGATTCCGATATTACAGAAAATATTGCAGAAGAAAGCGGTAATTATATTTTGGAGGCATTGGAATCTATTATCCTTTATTAATTGTGTTTGCTAGGCCGACCCCGCGCATAAGTCGATCTCAACTTTGATCCTAGTACCAACGAGAGAGCTTGCCCAACAAGTACACAAGACCGTAACTGCGTTTTCAGAGTTCTGTTCCAAGGATATACGGTCAGGGAACCTCACGCAGAAGGTTTCCGATGCTGTCCAACGCGCGCTTCTTGCAGATTTACCGGATATTGTTATATCTACACCCGCGCGAGCAATTGTGAACGTCAATAACTCAGCATTGGCTTTGGACAACATATCACAAGTGGTTATTGATGAAGCTGATTTGGTTCTCTCATATGGATATGAGCAAGATATGCAGAATCTGGCGAAGGCAACTCCGCGTGGTGTTCAGACTTTCTTGATGAGTGCTACACTGACGTCTGAAGTTGATACTCTGAAGGGACTCTTTTGTAGAAATCCTGCTATCTTGAAACTTGAAGAGGCTGAGGACGAGGGCGCTGGTATAAACCAGTTCGCAGTGAAGTACGTTACTCTTTGCTATCATGCAGTATCACTAAGTTGACTAACAAATGACTTGCAAGGTGTGCGGAGGACGACAAATTTCTACTCACATACGTGATATTCAAACTGCAGCTCGTGAAAGGCAAATGCATCATATTTGTCGGTGATGTGGATCGATGTTATCGACTCAAGTTATTCCTGGAACAATTTGGTATCAAGAGTTGTATCCTCAATTCAGAATTGCCAGCGAATTCTAGAATACATGCTGTCGAGGAGTTCAACAAGGGTGTTTATGATATTATAATTGCTGCCGATGACCAAGAAGTCATAGGGAAAATCGAGTCAAACAAGAAGCCATCCGAGAGTGAAGAGCCTATTACTGATGCTGCTACGGAAGAAAACAAGGATCTCAGCGAACCTGAAGAAGTGGAAGAAAAGGCGGCACCATCCAACAAAAACAAGAAACGAAAAAAGTCAGGAAAGGAGAAAGACTATGGCATTTCTCGAGGAATAGATTTCCAGGATGTTGCATGCGTTCTCAATTTCGACCTTCCAACGACTGCTAAATCATATACCCACCGGATTGGTAGAACTGGTCGAGCTGGAAAAACCGGGATGGCCCTTTCATTTGTTGTTCCATCTGAATTGTATGGAAAGCACAAACCAACCATTTTCCCGCCAGCGAAGAACGATGAGTCTGTCCTTGCTAAAATAGAGAAACGACAAGCGAAGATGGGAAGAGAGGTGAAGCCCTACCACTTCGACAAGAAGCAAATAGAAGTGTTCAGATACCGAATGACAGATGCCCTTCGAGCGGTGACTAGAATAGCCGTTCAAGAAGCCAGGGCAAAGGAGATTAGACAAGAACTTGTCAAGAGTGAGAAACTCAAGAGACATTTCGAGGAGAACCCCCAAGAGCTACGCGAGTTACGCCACGATCAGGAACTTGGGTCTGTGAGAGTTCAGAGCCAGTTGAAGAATGTGCCGGAGTATCTAATGCCAACCAAGGGGAAGAGTTCATTAACGAGTGAAGACATTAGGTTTGTTGGGCTACACAAAAAGAAGGGGAACAGGATTCGGCAGGCTAGACAAAAGAACAAGGCTCGAGGGAGAATTGCAAAGAAAGGCAGCGCTAGACGAAAAATTGATCCATTGAAGTCGTTCAAGTCAAAGTAAAAAATGGGTGGTTTGGTTTGTTAATATGAAAATACCCAATGTTGTATAGCTGAGCGTAGATATTGTTATAAACAAGACGCCTATTCTTGTGCATGAATGCCTTTACAGATGAAGACACTATATTTATATATTCAAAATTCGCTCTCGTCTCTCTGATCCGTCAGAATAATGTATCCATTTCCCGCGCCCTTCTATCCTCGCGGTTTGAATGCCCTTACCAACATCTTTGATCCTCTCAAGTGTGGATTTGAAGGATTCTCGCTCTTTGCGGAATCTATCTTGTTGCTTTATCACTATATCCTCGTCCACTTCCGTAGCGGATATGCTATCAAGGGTCGGAGCCTCTGGGACCCATCCAGGACCAAGTCCTATCCACTCTATTCCTCTCCACGAACCATTCCATTCTGGACCTGAAGCACTGTGAACCTGTCCATAGATGTCAATTCCATTCCAGCACAATGCTGGGATCCATTCAGTGCAACCTTCTAGATCAAGCCATTTAAGGCCATAGGTTACCCTTGACAATTTTGCCAGGACAATAGATGCTTCTGTCCAATTATTCTCGTAGGAAGAATATACATCCGACGCTCCATATTGAAATGAGAGTGAATGATGCTTTGGGTGGCTCACGCTTGCCGTTAGAGCGTTGGGTTTCAAAGTTGGGGTAGGCCAATAAGCAAGGGAAAGATGGGTTAATGTTGGGATATGAGAAAGAAGTTTCATAAGGGAAACCCAGCTTGCGGATTCTGGAGCTGGAGATGCCAAAGAGAGAAATTTGAGGTTACCGAAGGCTGTCACTTCAGGCCGGCCTGGAGTATGGGGACTAGGACTTTGCGTCTCTAGGTCAGCTTCCTCCTCCCAGGAAGTGGGAACAGGTGTGCTCTCCCTGTGTTTTGGTATATTGCCTTTGATAAGTTTGGAGAGCTGTTTCAAATTAAGCCAGTATCCAATAGAAAATCCCAGGTCTAGCCGAGTCACTTCAGCATTGTCTTCAGGCCCGGACTCCTGGGTCAAGAATAGAGGTTCTAAACCCTCCATGTTGACCCCCATCGATGAATGATCTGTGTAGACGGATATATATGTCAACAGGAGCTGCCTTATTGATACCGGTAATGTTGACAGAAATGTTCCATCATATATAAGATGCCAATCCCAGTTTCTAGCCATAAACCGAAGTGTGGTGTGTAGTAAACTGTCCTCTGGCGGAATCCTTGCGCCGGGAAGGCGATCGAGTCGACGGCCAAACTTGAAGCCACGGCTTCTCAACGTACCCCCACCGGGGGCATCTAGGCCAGCATTTGATCCTGTATTAGGGGTTATCCAGCTTAGAGGAGGAGGTGGACCCGGGGTTCGGCGGACTCTTCGCTGTCCAATTACCTGGCGGGATGTAGTCGGTCGAGGTCGGGGAGGAGGCGTCTCGGGAAGTTCTAAGATGTTTCTTAGAGACGGATGAGCCGTTCTAGGCGCTAGTCTTGCCTGTCGTGAGCCTGTGGCATTGGAAGACGCATTTCGCATCTGCTGAAGGATTTCATTGACCGATGATTGACCTGTTGCTGTCTGGCCATGGCTGGGTGACCTGGTCGACTGGAGGGAAGGATGGGCGGCAGGCGTTGGTTTTATGGATGGAGATTTGTGTTTTTTGGGCATAGAGAATGGATGAAAGGAGATCTAACTTGGTCGGAGAAGACCAGGACAGGCTGAAGCCGTACTTTATATTCCGTCATGTCGGGTTGCTTGAAATAATGTGACTGATTCCGTATCCGTATCGACATCGAACTTATTTTAAGTGGCGGCTGAAAAGTGCTTGGCGGTTTGCGACAGCCTCAAAACGTTGGCCCAAGCTGCATTTACACTTCCTTGATATTGCTATGTATACTCGACATAAACTCAAAGTAAAAGTAGAATCTAGATGTCTCTAACCAGAGAGCCGTCATCCATCCTGCCTTCTCTCTTAGGCCCCTCTCTCAGCCATGTCTCCGCCATGCTGGCCTTCGGATCTTCATCTGGGAAGCCTCTTGAACGCCGGACCTCGAGAACGAGGTCCCGAACCTTTCTCGTACACTCCAGTCGAAGTTCCGTAGCTTCATCTCCGTACATAAGCTTCTCATTCAAGATGCCAACTGCGAGAGGTTCAGTGCTTCCTTGCTCCGATTCCCTTTTCAGCTTCTGCCATTTGCTTCTTAGCTCTCCAAATATAGCCTCAGTGTCCACTTTTTCCCCAAACGTGACGCTGACTTTTTGGTTTATGCGAGGAATAAAACGAGGGAATCCACGGTCCTCATGCATAACACCGTCCGTGCCTTCTATCCACATTGGGACGATATCTGGACATTCAGCTGGTTCCAATATCAAGCGAGAAATGCCCCATTTGAAGTAGCGCATAGTTTTGTGTGCTGACTGGTGTATCATCCCTTCTGGAAAGATGTGTATCCAAGAGTAGGAGTTGCATGCATATGTAGATGGAGCTAGAAAAGCGTCCTCTCCATTTGTAGTAAAAGCTGTAGGTACCTCCGAAAAAGGATCAACACAGGTATTGCTTATGCTCCATCGTTGCTTGTCTGCAGGAGCCCCATGAGGGTCCACAGGAAAAGGCCCCTTGGATAATAACCGGATCGCTTGGGTTATTGTAGGCTGAAAGAGCCCACCGCGAGAAGAATGGAAAAGTCTATGTGCTGGGAGAACCTGCCCGTATGTAAAAAACGCAGACATAAATCTATATAGGTGAGTTAGCACGCCATCATACCCCGGTGAGTTCCGGTCAATACCTATTTTTAAAACAAATATCATGGCTTCCAAGAGCCCATCTCCGATTGCATGGCCGGAATTCCCAATGACTTCGCAACGGTATAACACCCCACATCAACGGATCGTCCATGCTATAGCGCCCATCCGGGAAGTTTCAGCCCAGTGTTCACGTTGTATGCGCATGCTAAAAAGGGGCGACCTCAAGCTACGTACACACTAATGTGATTTGAAACTGCAAAAACAAACAAGGAAAGTCAGTATACTGAATTCATTACAGCTCTAGGTCAAGCATATAGGTAGAGTAGCTAACCAGTGATTAATCCGCGTGTCCTCGAGCTATCATCTTGCCGCGACTCTAGCAGCTTCAAGAATCTATCCAAGCCATTGACTTCCGTGGTATTGAGCGAGAACAGAAACCCACGACATAGTGCCGCAATACTCAGCGTAGTAGCGGAGGACAGAGCCCTCCAGACGGAGGATGGCTGCTCGAGCGTCCCATCTTGAAGCTGCATCGGGATCTCGGAGGGAGGTCGACTCGATAAGGCGAGCCGGGAGTAGATCCAGTTTTTTAATTCATGGGATGCTAAGGAGCGACATTAATCCAATTGATGGGTTTGTATATAGACAAGACATAAGAAAGAAATGATATGGTACAAGATAGCAACCGTCTGGCGGGTTGAATCTCGCATCCAAAAGGCCCGAAGCTGCTCTTTGGTTGTATCAGAGTTGGAGATGTGGCGTGCACGGACCATCCAATGATCTCCCAAAGAAAAAAAAAAAGTCATGGCTTCAAAACTTCATATATGAAAGCTCACGAAGAAGGACATTGAACGACCTCCTTTCAGCGTCTGATACGCGCCAATTCCACTCAAGATGTTCAAGCCTACTTCCCCTTTACTCAGTGGTCTATTATGGTACGCTCAATTGTCCCGCGCCAGCGCCATTTGGCCCTTCCGGCGGTTCCAAGATGGATAACGGCTAACCTGCATCTTTTCATTAGGAAAATTCCCTGGCGCCTGTCCAGTCCTCAGAAAGCTAGACAACGAAAGCGGCTACGAGCAGTTGACAATGTCGTTGATACGGTTTACGCTGCGCTGGAAAGAAATGGACTTGGGGCCACGAAGCCTGTAGAGCGATGGTACCGAGAGATGCCTAGGGAGGAGGAAATGCTACCACGAGACAAGTACACAATTTTCGACCGGAAAGAGAAGAAGTATCGCAAGGGAATACATAGTACGTTTCATCCGTGCTGGTTTAGTGGCTTACAGACTTTTGGGGGGGTGATTATTTTGTAGCGTGGTATGAACATATGCTAACTGCTGGTTTCTTAGAACTTCCCAAATGGACTCGTGTTAGCCAGAGAATTAACCCTCCTGGTTTCTAGAGTTGCCTCTTCACGCTTTTCCATCGATGTATCATCTCTGTTTGACGCGGATACTGGCTCTGCGCTATGTATAAATACCTTTCTTCCTCGAATATGTGGGCATGTATGGAGTTTTTCCCTTTTGGCTGTCCTTCTACGGTTAGACATACACTGAATTTGCGTGTGTACTATTACTGGATTATTTTCTTAAATTTTATTGGTGATTGATGATCCTACGGATATGCTGAACCCAGAGAGACTTGTCCCGTTTTCAGGGATATAACAACTGGCCACTCCATTTCTCCGTATGCAAAAACGAAAGATGAACAGATTAAATTAGCTCCGAACGGTAAGAATAATTTCCATGAATGCTGTGGTTTTGTTTGGTTCAGCCTTCGTCTCGTTCATGCATCGACACTGGGTCAGTGGTACTCTGTGGCTGTAGTGTTGGACTATCCGCTCCCTGTAGACTGACTGCGGATCTTGAAAGAGTGCTTCTTAAGGAATGATGTAGGCTTACAACCCCCCGGCCCGATTTTTCAGACCTCTCAAGCTGCCTGATTTTCTGGTACTGCTGGGCACTGAGCCTTCTTGCTTCCCGAGCAGCTCTCTCAACGCCGTGATATATGCCCTTTCCAGTTCTAACAACACATCGGCGGTTGGCTTTCCCTTGAAGAACTACCCTCCGGACCCTGTACAACCGGGGAACGTTCTCCCAGTACTCGAGCTTCTCAGACCAACCGCCAGGCCCTTCGAAGTATGTCTGTTTCTGCTTATTTGACATTCCGTGTCCTTGTGGGGGTTTCTTGAGAATCCAGCTTGCTGGGTCAACGTTATTATCAGCAGCCTCTTCAGCCGAGCCTTCGAGTAATTCAACCTTTGGAATCTCTTTCGCTCCAGAAGACACCCTCGCTTGATTGACTGCTACCCTCCAGGAATCTATCCGTGGCGTAACTGCTCTGGCTCTTGGTGCAGGGGTAAGGTCGGGTAAAACGGCATTGCTTTTACCGCCAAACGCCTTCTTATTTACTCTGGGATCACTCTGTATTCTTTTTTTCTGAACAGTGAGTCTTGATGAAGGATCCATTACAACCCAAGTGGCCCTGTTGAGCCAATGGTTGTGGAGAAGGAGAAACGCAAATGACTTTCGACCTGGGTCCATTTCACTCGATAACCACTCGAGCTTTCTATCCAAATTGTCGACTAGACGTACTTCAGGGCGGCTCAAGCAATTCTCGAGAGGAGGTCGACGGCGTATCCCGCGGCATTTGCGGATACGAAGAGTATCTTCTCCTGGCCGACATCCTGGTCTTGGTATCTGTCTCCTGATCTCTGGAGTAGGACGATTTGGCAATCGAGGAGCCGGCTGAGTCCCAGTATCATAATGATGAGACTGGTATATATCTGAGCCAGACCCTGATGATATCATGCTTTTGAGGGCAAACGACAATGCTGTGCCTGGTCGGCCGGCATGGCCCTTGAGAACTCCAGGAGTATCACCAAAGGTCTGACATTGCATCCTTGCACCCCATGCCCTGTATTTCCAGGAAAGTGATTTTTCGCCATGTGTCTCGTCCATGGAATTGCCCATGCTCAGGATGCTGCTTCGTCCATGCCTTCTTTTAGTATTCGGTGGCTGAGTAGCTGGACTGTGAAAACGTACGTGGCGTGAGCCATCATAGTAGCCTTCGGAATGTGTTTTTCGAGATGCAGGGCGAGGTAGTGCTTCACTTCCTGCTCCATATCCACTATTATCGAAGGACTTGGATCGTGTCCTCAAAGGGGGCGAAAGTCTCAAATCAGTACGCCGTGGTATATTGAGATCCTCATATTCCATGGCTCTGCGGCTATGGTGTCTTCGAAGGGCAGACAAGCGGCCCACCCCGGGAACACCAAGCTCAGGGTTGGCTTGTGAGTGCGAGCTGGGTCTCAGTCCGTTGACGGCATATCTCATCAACCGCAAGGGAATACGCCGTAGCCGACCCTCATCTTCAGCTCGTTGCCTTGATTTCTCACCATCTTGGTCCCACCATATCCAACTATAATCCGCATGAGAAGACCTCCTAAACATGAACTTCCTAGCCCAGCGGAACTCCTCTTTCCACCGTTCTTTATGGTAGTTATATTCCATAGTGGGAATCCATCCGTACCAGGCTCTAACGTGATGTGAAGCTGCACTCCGTCCTCCTCCAGTCACCCTTGAGCGCGTGAATGAGCGTAGAAATGTCCCTAGTTTCCAGTAGAAAACACCGAGTATGAAAATGGACACAGTTCCAATGAATAACAGAAGGAAAGTCCTCACATCGATACGTTCGTCCACAGGCACGGCCCCTCCTGGGCCGTTTGGGTGGCGAGGCGGTTGGATGATTTCCCGACGTTGAAGAGAGATGTAATGACTATATATGGGAGCCATGGATTATTGGTCTTGGTAACGCAAACACTGGCGACAAAGGTACCACCAATTGCATAGTCGAGCGTAACGAGCGTATGAGGATCCAGTTCAAAGATTTTGCCTAGATGAATTCAACTGTAGCTGAAAAACGAACGTGTTTGGCCTTTGGGATAGCGGGTGGAATGTCGGGCTCAACCCGAGCGGTTTCGACGTCCGTAGGCTCTTGACCAAACCAGTCCGCAGCCTTCCAGGTAGCAAAGACAAGTAGAACAATAAGCAGCCAAGAGGCAAAACTCGTTATAACGAGAATCAGCAGATGTTTCTTATCCATGCATGTGAGAGGTTGGCCTGTGGGCCGGGTTGAGAAAAGAGTGTAGCACAGTGTCAAACAGCAATTAGTGGTATAGGTTAAATGATAGGGGAGCCATGTATCAAAGAAGTGATATATCACGACAGCCAACAGCTTCTTGTCAATATCAGCCTCTTCGATGGTTGATGTATGGAATATCAGCAAAGTTCCCGCCTATATTGCGGCAGGAGCAACCAGGCCCTTGGTAGTTCTTTCTCTGATTCGCATTTTCCACGTCTTACCCTCTCTGGTAGCTCTTTCTGTTCTGACCGCGCTTATCTATCGAGCTGTCTTTCATCTCTGATAAACCTGTCCACACTGTAGATAAGGTATCACCAGCACGGGTAAAAGGGGGGAATATCCTCAGGGCAGAGAAAAGCTTGTGACGGGGTATCTTGTCTCCTGAAATAATATTCTCAATAAAT